TTATTTCTAATATAATTAGTATAATCTTATAGGATCTTATTAATAAGTCCTTAGTTATTTCTAAGGTATAATTAGATATTTTAATATTATTCCTTATTTCCTTATTTCCCTATATATATAAAGAAATTAAATCTTTCTTTTACTATTTATTTAAATCTATTATATATAGCTAAGATATATCTCTTATATCTTAAGTATATATCTTTATTATAAAATATTATTTTTATACTAAGATAATTTCCTTTAAGAGCTTACTTTCCTTTTATTATAATCTTCTATATAATAATAATAAATTATTATTCGAGGGTAATAGATCTATTTACCTTTAAGGTAAAATAAATATTAGCTATATTAATTCCTTTATTTTACTTATTAGTCTTATATTAATAGGTTTTATAAGTAAAATAAGGTTTATTATTAAGTTCTTATAATTATATAAGGAAATAATTATTTTCTTATTTACTTTAGATATATATACTATAATAATAATCGTTATAGGAGATCTATAAGATTTCTTTATATTAGGGGTATATTAATTAGGTATACTTATTATCTTATATATTATATTATAGTTTCTATTATAAGTTTATAGTAATTTCTTTATAATATACTTAGATAGGGATATCCTTTATATCTAAGGTATTTTCTTTTATTTATATTATTATAGAGGGTCTTAAGTCCTCTTAGGTTATTCTAAGGATTTATTCCTATTATTTTTTAACCTTATATTTAATTTCTTTGCGTCTTTATATTATATAATATAATTCCTTATTATATTATATAGTAATAATATAGATTAATTTATATTAATAATAGACTTAATATATCTCTATTTTATATTATAAGTATAATTTATTATTTAGCTAATATAATAAAGGAATAAAGAAATAATTATTTTCTTATTCTTTTTTTTATATTCCTAATATTAATAATATTAATATAATACCTATAAAATACTAAGGTATTCCTTATATATAGGGTATATATATATATTATCTTATATACTAAAGGGGGGTTTAATATATCTAGGGTCTTAAGCTATTACCTTATAGTATATATAGATATAAATATCTTATATTTCTTTAGTATTTATATATTCTTATAACGTATATAATAAGTATACGACGCATCTAAGTATGCGATATATTTTTCCCTCCTATACCTAACCTTCTACTTAATTAATTAATTCTATAACCACTAACTATATTAGACCTAAATATAGAGGCTAGAATCCTTCTTACCCTTTAGGCTATTTAAAATAACCTAAAGCTAAGCGTCCGATGCGCTATAAAGATCTATAAGGTCTCCGAGCTAAGGCTATATCATCGCAGATAAGGCATTTAATCGCGATGCGATTAGATCCTAAAGTCACGCTAATTATCTAATCTAGAGGAATAGATTCTAATTTAGTTTATTCTCGACCTAGATTCGCGAGGATTTTCCCTATCATTATATTTTATTAAAGAAATAGCTAATTAACTACTTATTAACTATAATATATTACTTATTAATAAGTGCTAGGCTTATAACTTTATTATGTGATACTAAAAGCTTAAGATATATTTTTTTTATAAATATAATTACTAAAGAGCTAAGTATAAAAATTTAATTATTATTTATAATTAATTTAGGCTTATAGTAAATATAATCGCAAAGTATAATATTTAATTAGATAATATCTAGAACTTTAATAAGATTAGCTTTATAATAGATATAATTTAAAGCAGAATAATTATTATAGGCATAGATAGGCATAGAAAGCTAAAATTAATATAGCCTAGAAATTAGGAATAAATTATAGTTATTTAGGCGATTAATATAGAAGGCTAGGCGATTTAGCTATTTATTATTAATATAGGCTAATATTACCTCGCTAATTAGTACTAAGAAAGTAACCTCCTAGGCGATTAGGCTATTATAATAAGCTAAAATAGCTAGACTAATAATAATATTAGTCTTAAGTAGCTAAAGTACTTTAATTAATATATAAGTAACTAATTAGTTAGTTCTTATTATCTT